TGTGACATTGCATCTTTTGTATAGAGCTTGTACCCTAAGCTGTGCCTTTTGTGTTTGTACTGATTAGAAAATGTTAGCTTATCAACATAGAATGATGAATATTCCAAAATATTACTCTATATATTACAATATTCCAATATATCACTATATTACTGCTGTTGTTAAAGTGAATTGTTAAATGTTGTCATTTTTATGCTTACCATCTCTACATTGTTTTAACTCTGTGATGAAACAACGTAGAGATGGTAAGCATAAAAATGACAACATTTAACAATTCGCTTTAACAGCTGTTTTGTTCCACAGTTTTTATTGGCAAACTACACCTCAGATCTCACATGTAACACAAACTACACAAACGGGCACACCGCAGTGTATTTGTCCATATAGCTACTGTATAACAGAACATTTTCCCTTTACGGTTTCCTCACATGATGTCCAACCATTCTCACATTAGCGGAGCCTGTAAGTGAATTATCTGATTTATGTTTAAGAGCCTGCTGAGTGAAACACAGATTTCCTTGTGCTTCAATGAGGTAAACATGAATGGAATGCATCCAGATTTTACTTCTGTATTAGACAATACCCCCAGCACTCTACAGCTATACAGAGCCTTGTAATGGCTCATAACTAAGCTCATCTGCTCACACGTGAAAGCAGTTACTCCCTTTCCCTAACTTAAGTTGGCCAGGGTTTTTTTGTTGCTGGTCGTCAAGGAAACATGTCCCTCGCCAAATGACTTTTTGGGAAATTAGATTAGATTAGATCTCCTGATTGGTCCCATCAGTTTGAATCACCCACACAATGCTGGCTGTCTGTCCTTTATCCGAATCTTGTGTTCCATCTGATGGATTTGGGTTCTGCAGGGAAGCAGGTCTTGTGATTCCAAAAGCTCAGCTACCAGAACTACTACTGTGTGTTACATCATAGAGTAGAAATAGCCAACTGATGGGCAATAAAGCAACAGTAACATTATTTTTGAAAAAATCTAAACGAATTAAGAATAAAAAAAATCTATTATTTTAACCTCATCACATACTGGGTCACCAGCAAAGCTCTTAGAGGCAGGGCCTGGATTTCAGTTGAACCACAATTTAGTTTAGTTTAAGAAACTAGAAAATGTTGCTTTTCAGATCAACTCACTTACAGACATTTTGGCCTTATAGTTCATCTCTTATAAGATTTTCATTTGGTTATGCCAAATGGTGGGTGTTATTTTGTTAATATTTCTGCAGAGGAAACCAAAATATAACAAAGGTTATTGTAATTGTGTTAAAAAGATATTTTTTAAGCCTCTGAAGCACTATTTATTTCCAAAAACGTACAAAACTCATGCCACAGAAATAGTTGTCAAAAGCTTATCTGAAGAAAATGATCCACAAAAAATTGATTTTATAACATTTCTTAATATTGAAGTCTGTGCATTAAGGGTCAGTACTTCAGAAATATCTTCAATTCACCTTAGACGTTAGTATGCTGTATGCTGTACATGTAACTGCATCAATACAAATCAAATCATTATCTCCTCATCATATTTGAAGGGCTTTGAGTGCAGTAGCAGTAGAAAACTGCTCCATAAACACCAGAACATGAACCCTTTACCTTTATTCACCTGTACATTTTATTTAGAATAAAATAAACTTACCTCGCTATGAAGATCTGGCCAGCTGGTAGGGTGGAAGACCACTCAGTGGAAATAAAACTTGGTTGGACTGGAGAGACAAGGCTTTGTCTATAACACACAGGCTGTGACTCCAATTAAGCAATTTAGTCTCTTGCCTGTCCCTTTTCTCTACCTCTCAATGCCTCTCACTCAGTCGTCCTCGTGCTCTCTGCCCTCAGTGGTTCTTCTCTAGTGTTTTTTTTTTAATCCTTTCTCACACAATTTGGACCCTCACAATGCAGCAAAAACTGCCAAATACACTCAGGAAAGTAATTCCTGGAGTTTTATCAGGTAGCGTCTTAGGAAGTGAGAGATTCAGCAGTTTGTATTAGTATAGCAGACAACAGTACATCTGCATTAACGGTGTGCCCCTTTTTTATACCGGGATCAACTTCTGCTTTACGCCGTGTGTGTGTGTGTGTGTGTGTGTGTGTGTGTGTGTGTGTGTGTGTGTGTGTGTGTGTGTGTGTTTGCACTTTTCTGTTCACACGAATGTAATATATATGCAGTTTTTTGTAGATCATAAATATTTTGTGACGAGTATGGGAAATAAGTAGAGATTAAAAAAATGATCACATATAGTCAAGCTCACAGGAAAAGTTATATGACCACTTTGTTATATTGCATGTGAAAATAATGTGAGGATATTTTTCATGCAACTAGACATTTACAGATCGTGTTTTTGCTTGCTTTGTGCATCATCATCCCCTTCAATCTTTATCCCTTTAGGAGTTTTAGGAGCTCTGATTTTCTCCTTTCAAATGAAAATTATAAGAGAAAATCTGCTTTTGAAAAAAAGTGACATTTTCTCACCAGACAAGATGTCACAATTTAGTCACCAGGTGGAACTACAGCATGACAAAATGATGACCTTTTGTCACCAGATGTTTTATCACCACATGTTTTGTCCGATGATTTTTGTCTTTGCGCAAAATGTGTTTGCATAAGAAGAGTTCCATCTTCTGGATAGAAATGATCCAGAGAGACTGTTGGATTTCTTTCACTGTTAAGAAACCGGCATAGATGTTTCTAAAAAAAAAGGATAGTAACAGTAACATACTACTGTCTATGTTGCCATAATCTCACAAAGACAGCATTTCCATGCACAATTATGGATTATTTCATTGCAGTAAGGTTCAATGAAATGTGCATTTAAATACATCCCCTCGCCATGCTTTAATATGTATTTAATTAGACCGGTTTTTAATTAAATACATACAGCACAGCAGACAGGACTGAACCTGTGGACGACCTGTACGTAACAAATGGCTAAAAACAAAGATTGAAGCATAAAAACTGTAGAATAATACAGAAAGTCACCTGCAGTGTCTGAGATTATTAAAGTATTATTAGGTTATTGAATAAAGACACGAATGCTGCACTAGCATCAATCCTATGAGAAAAAAAGAGAGTCCCAACGAAGTCACCAAACTCTGGAGACTGTTCAGAACATGAGTGATGGAAATTTTCTTTATCATTAAAACTCAGAGCTCTTACTGTTGAATGTAAAAAGAAAACAGATGCAGTGTCACTTTTGCAGCAATACCACCTACAGTATATCAACACTCAACAAGACTGTGAGACATTCTGTAAGGGGAACTACCATAAACGGTTTCATGTGATGCTGATTATGAAAAAGAGTTTGCAGGAAATGTAAAGTGTGTGGATGCCTGACTAAGCAGCGCCACAGATGTGTGCAGAAATGTAAACTAGTGTTTTATCCTACAGGCGTCCAACCAGGTCGCATCCCAGACTCCAAATTCATGCATTTTCTTCCAATTGCCTTGATAGTGACCGCATGATGCTTTCCACGCAGGAGCTAAAGCAGCTCTTTGAGGTCACAGGTGGACCTGAGTGAGCCGCTTTGTGGCTCCAGTGTGACGGCCTGTCACATGATGCTGGCTGCTCACATGATGCCAGCACCATTGTGTATTTCCTCATCTGAGAGGTTCTCAGAGGCTAAAAGCAAGCTTTGAGGATAAATAAGAAGTGACACAACTTTATTTAGAAATGATTATCATCTTTATTTGTGATTTATGAATGATAAAAATAAAATCTGATTACAAATCTGACTCTGAGGTTTTTTAGTTCATTGTGACCTCGGTTTTAAACTCAGAAAGCAAGAAAGTATTTATTGGGCAATTTTCACATGAATATTAGATACATAAGATGTTTTGTGCTTGATAAAGACAATTATTCATAACTCAAAAGAGAATCATTGATTCGATTGCATTGCTAAAAAGTACTAATATGCCAGTATTTATAAGAACTGATGCAATGAAAAGTATGTCTGTATCTAAATGAGTTATATAAATACTGTTGTTTCAGTGCAGAAACTCTACATGTGAATTTAGAGGTTCCACATTTCCGCTGTAACAGTAGAAAAAGTGGCTTTTTTTTTAAGTGCACTTAAAGATGTTCCTTAAGACATCTCAGGCTCTCCATCTTCTGTTCTCTCAATGAACTACTTGTTAAATAAGAAAAATACTTTTAAAAGAAATTAATTACATCTTCTAGCGTCTGGTAATTTTTGATTTACTGGTCCAGTCTACCTGAGATGAAACTGAGCTGTATATGGCCAGTGATCTAAAATGATTAACACTCTTACCTAACAGCAAGGGGTGACTGCAAATCAATGCAAAGGTGTCCTGAGTGGTCATCTTTGTCTTACATGATGAATCATTTCTATCCTGGTGGAAGCAATGTCTTCAACAAGTACAGCACGAGATGTCAGGAAGTGGTTTAATGAATATGAAAATTAGGCTTTTCAGTCAGTAGATCTCAGCCCAGCAGACCTTCTATGGGAGGACCATCATGTTACGCAGCACTGCATCACCATCATCGACACCAAAATAGGAAATAGCTCTTGGAAAAGACACTGAAGCTATTCTAGTGCTCCAACACTCTAATTTAAAAGTTACGACACTTCTGATTCTTTGATTTAAGTCCAGATTTTTTTGTCCTTATTGGCATGATAGGGTCACAACGTTGCTGCACTTCCATGATGTGACCTTCCCGTTCCACCACATACCAAAGGATGTGATGACTTTGGAGTACAATCAATGCATTGTTATGTTCAAGAAACCAGTTTGAGATTATTTCGGGTTTGTGATGTGGTGCGTTTACTTGCTGTCGCCACAAGGTGGGTACACTATGGTCAAAAATGGAAATGGTCAGCAGCTGTACTCAGGTGGGCAGATTAGCAGTGTGTGAAATACTAAGACCAACCAGTGTGTCATTAATATTCAGAGTCACTTGAATTAAACGTTCATCCCCATTTGGCTTAGTTTGAGCATGCCTACATTACATGCCTGTGTGCACTGAGTTGCTGCCATGTGATTGGATGATTAGATATTTCCGTTAATGAGCAGCTGAACAGGCGGTTAGTCTTAAATTAACCGTCTTCATCTATGACTGTAATTCGAAATTGCGACTTTATTCTCAAAATGATCTTTACGTGGCGAACTTGTTCGCTCCTCAAAAACAAAAGTGCACAGTGACTTCCCTCTAGCGCTCCGGGTTTGTATTTCATGCAGAGGCTCGTCATGGCGGCTCAGACCCGTGCTCTGGTGTCAGGTCAGTGGCTGGCAAATGCTGTCAGAAATGACCTGATCGGTCCCAAGCTTCGCGTTCTCGACGCTTCTTGGTACCTGCCGAAAGCCAAACGGAACACCAGAGAGGAGTTTGCGCAGAAGCACATCCCGGGCTCGTCCTTTTTCGATTTGGACGAATGTTCCGACAAGAACTCTGCGTTTGATCATATGTTGCCAACTGCCAGCTACTTTTCGCAATATGTGGGAGATCTGGGCATCGGGAATGACACGCACGTCGTCGTGTACGACACCAGCGACACCGGGGCGTACAGCGCGCCCCGCGTGTGGTGGATGTTCCGGTTGTTCGGGCACAGTTTGGTGTCGCTGCTGGATGGTGGCTTCAAGAACTGGCTGGTTGACGGCTATCCGGTGACGTCCGAGTACTTGAAGCCGGAGAGCAGAGAGTTTAAGGCCACTCTGAACCAGTCGTGGGTTAAAAGCTACGAGGACGTGCTGGAAAACATCAGAACCAAGCAGGTCCAGGTTGTGGACGCCAGGTCTCCTGGCAGGTTCAAGGGTACTGAGCCAGAGCCCCGAGATGGTGAGTCAGACTTTAAGCGTTTAAACTTAAGAAGAGGCCAACAGTTTATCTGTCAGTCGTGTTAGTTCTCCAAGGGTTAAAAACAGCTTTGAGCATAAGATACAACATGTAGGGTTTTGCATCAAAACAAGAAAGATGAGACTGCATACTTCACATGTTGCTGCTGTCATTTATCGTGTACACAGTGCTGTGTGCAATACTCCAAAGTGAACATGCTTTCAAAAAATACTAATATCAGCACTTTTTATATAATAGCTACTTTTACACAAAGTGCAGGAAAATAAATTAGCTTCAGCACTCTTTGCCTTTGAAACAGCACTGAGTTTTAGAGGTACTTGTACTTTGTTTTTAAGGTACTCTGTATACACTGGCTGTTATCTTGGAAACCTTTGGCTGTTATCAAAGGCGTGTCCTGTGGTGGCCTTGCCCTCTGCTCCTGCTTTTTGTCACTGAACATAACTCTTCAGTAAGGTTACTATAGTGAACTTAAACTACAGTAAAATCTGAAGTAGGTACGGAATGTGAAATGAAAAGAAAAAAAATCTAATGATAATTGATAACTAAAAAACAAATATTATTGAAGAGTCTCTGTAGGTTGTTTTTTTATTACACAAAAAAAGCTGCTGATAGAAACTGTGAGCCATGTAGAAAGCCATCACCCAAATTTTATTTCAGCTGCCAATTACAGCTCTTGAGCCACGTGCAGATAACCAGCAGATACTGTGTGCTCAGCTTCTATCTTGGTGGTTTTCACTGAAGCAAACGTCCACTGATGATGTCCAGGAGATGCTGCTAAAAGCTATGGAAGAAATTTAAGATAAAAACCTGTCACATGTTGATACGTCCCCTAAATTTCTCACTCTTCTTTCTCCCGGTCACAGACATACTGCCTGGACATTACCCCGGAGCGATCAACATACCATATACAACTTTACTGGATCCCTCTGGAAAGGTGAAGGATACCGAGAGCCTGGCTGAGATTTTCAAGGATGCAGGGGTGGACATGACCCGACCGTTCTGGGCTTCTTGCGGCTCAGGCGTCACAGCGTGTCAAGTCATTCTGGCCGCCCACCTGCTCGGGCATCCCGGGGTTTGCCTTTATGATGGTTCCTGGTGCGAGTGGTTTCAAAAGGCATCACCAGAACTTATCATCTCAGAGGGGGAGGGAAAGAAGGCGTGAGGGGAAAGTCACTTCTTTAGAGAGAGCTAAGCTACAGGTGTATCTGACCTGACCGTGTTGGTGTTTCTCCCACAGCATCACAGTGTTGCTCAAGGACTGTGATCGCAAATGACCAGTTGCATAGATGTGTGAGGTGATTGCTTTCAGACTTTGGCTTTCAAAAGTCATGTGAAGTGACAAAGAGCAATCTGGCAAGTTGGTTGGCTTGAACCGTTTAGTTAGGGTTAGGACCATATTTTTTCACAAATGTTATGCAGGGGAGACAAATTGCTTTGGGTTAACAAGAGCCTAGGTGTCAAGACAAGAAGCGGAAAGAACACCCTCGATAGGTCTAAGGCTAAGCAGCACAGACGGCCAGTCATGTTCGCACCGGCACATTTAGAATTGCCAGTTAGCCTAGGACTGTTGGACTGCGAAAGAAAGCTGGAGACAACCCACAAAAACAGGTGAATAACACCCAAACTCCCCCCAGGAGGTCGGTCCAAACCCAGGACCTTCTTGTTATGTGGCACCAATTCTAACCACTGCATCTCCCCCATGACACACCCATATTTGTTTTACACAGTTTTAAAGGTTAGAGTTCAATAAAAAATGTTGTTTTTTTCCCCCCCATCTTATTTCTCAAAGTCGCAGAGCTGTAACTGGTCACTTGCGCTGATGGTCCTCAAGCAACATGCATTATTATGCTGTAGGAACAGCACCAACACGGGGACAGCAGATTGTGCCTGAACTTTAAACCTACGCCTTAACATCCTTCCCCCCCCCCCGAGTATATTATACACACTATAGGTTGTAAGGTTCCTCAGCTGTAAGAAACCTTTCAAATAATTTAATAATTAATGTTTTAAGCAAATGTAACATTCTAAAGTTTCACTTCATATGTATTGTTTTGGTTCTTTCTTTAACCAAAAGTGATGCATTAGAATTCCATTACAATAACCTGAATATGTTATGTGCTTCCGTTTTGATGGGGTACCACCACAGGTATCTTCTTTTTCTTTTAAAAGTAAGTCTAGCTCACAAGGTGGAGGAAAACGTGCATTGGGTAACCAGTAAAGTAAATATTTAGCTTTGTTAGAAGGCCACACAGGGCAAAATTCACTGTTGATCAGATATAGCTTCCTCAGGTGACCTCGCAGGGTTGTAGGAAACAGGTTGTTTCAGATCCTGTTTTTTTCTTTTTTTTTTTTTGGGGGGGGGGTAGGTTAAAATGTCTTGATTTTTTGCTTTCACTTGATCGGACTGTGTAAAAGTTGCAAGTTTTGAAAACGTAAGTCACTGTAATTCATTTAGTGTGCACCCAAGAAGAAATAATAATAATAAAAATCTAATTAAAAGTACTTAATACACTTTTTCTAAAACATGCACAGCGTTTTTGAAAAAAAAAAAAAGATTGCTGACACAGAGGAAATGAAAACCAGTTTGAGCCGGTTCCTGCAGTTTTATATGAGGTGTCTGGAAAGATGCCCGATTGCCAAAATAAAGTTTATGGATTATAGCTCACGCCAGGATGAGCTACGTGCAGCTGTTCTGTGCACACCATGTAGGTCATCAGGAAGTGTAAATGCACTAATACGCATTTACAGTTTGAGAAAGAATCAGTAAATCAATCATGAGGACTGCTATTTTGAAAGCTTCATAAAAAACTGATCAGAGTATATATTTATTCCAACTCTATTCTTCCTCGAGTAGCACTTTGTTTCTCATTAACAATGTAGCAAAGGGGTAATCTTAGCCACTCTGTATGATGTCAGCTGTTGCTATGTCTCAGTGAGGTAAAAAAAAGAAAAATGCCGAGTCCGGAATAAAAGAGCGCTCCAACTGGGCGAAAAGGAACGAACAGCTCATTTGAAATGATTCTTCTCAGGCTGAAGATGAGGCAGCAGCTGAACGCATTGTCTAAAAATGAATCAAACTTTCCGCTCTGCAACTGGCAGCAGATACATCACTCTTGCTCTTTATTTTGACCCTCATTAATATATATTGACCTAAAAGGCATGTTGTGATGTAGATTACATGAAATCATATGAAGGTTAAATGAATCTATTGTAAAGATTCATAAGGAAGAAAAACAAAATTTGCTAATTGGATTTCTGCGGGGAGTCTTTGGAGAGCCTACAATCAACTTCCTAAGTGGCTGACGTGTTTGTCTTCATTTATGTTCATGTGTGGTGCATTACTTGTTAATTATTGTGCGGTTGTCAGGTTTTTCTACTTTGTACCTTCCTTCATGTGCATTCTGGATCTTTCAGCAATCTCCCTCCAGGAATCTGATATTTGTGAGTCCTTTTATCAATGCTATGATTGTTCTTCATACTGCAGCAAATTACAAGCTGGAAATGCTCAGGAGAAGTCAACAATGCTGAACAGGCCAATCACAGTAGTTCTGGGCTGCATTAACTGGAACTGTAGTTACATTTTTCAGGAGGTGCACGTTAGGTTAGATTTTACATTACAATATATATTTCCCGCTGAAGCATAAGCATAAGTTTTGTCCATAGGATGAGGAACTCAAGAGCTTGTGCACTGAAAGGTGCCAGCTTTCCCTGGGACATTTCCTGGGCATGTAAAGATTTATGAAGACCAGCAGGTAGAGACACAAATAGCAGGTTTCACCTGTCCTGGAAAGATCTTCGGATCACACAAGATAAAACTGGGAGAGGTGCATCTGCAATACCCTGCTTATCATGCATCAGATAAGCAGATATTTTGCACATGTCTCAACTCTGTATATTTTTATATATTTTATTTATTGTTGACTCTATTTAATTTGTAAAATATGTGTACACACACACACACGTAGAAAAATATTTAGTATACACATCCAGAAATGCATATACTATTATATATTGTACATATATTTATTAGTTTCAGATGTATACATTATTGTATTTTGCACAACTCTGTTGCTTGTGAAGCTCGCACACAAGAATTTCACTCACATGTGCTGTACCAATGTACCTGCACATGTGATGTGACAATAAAAGTGATTTGATTTGATTTGAATGATGGGATGGTGCACAATAAAACTATCACTGATAGTAACGATGCTATCCAGGTGATATGAATATCAGTCAGACAAAGGTGGGTTTTTATTAAGGTAAATATAAAATTGTGACGTGACTGGTGATACATTTTGGGTTTGGACGTGACTCAAAAGGATTAAATCACTAGACGGCTGTGAACTACGCATCACGTCATCTCTGATGGGTGTCACTAGGCTGCCCGTTACGCTGCCTGAAGGTCCTAACGAGATAAACAAATTGGGGTCCTTCCTCGCGATAGGCTAGCAAGTCGAAACGGTTTTCAGACTCACATTGTTTTACAAAACTGTGGGAAAAATTCCTTCAGTGTAATCTGAGTAAAGTGTTTTTAGTAATGTTGATAAAAGAAACTGTTCTTCCGGTTTGGTCATTAGTAGCCTAGCTAGCCCGGTTGTATTTGTTTTTTTCTTTTTTACCGTCGAAGGGTGTGTTTTTTTTTTTCGGTCGCCGTCGTAACGGGGGCAACGTTAGCATTAGCGAAGCAAACAAGCCACCTTTGAGACTTATATAACTTCACTTTTGGTATTTAGTCAAATAAAACACGAGGTGAGTTTACGAGAAGTGATGTTATTAGACAGTGGACCCACAGTAATGCGAGGTGATTCATGTGTAGCGTTTGTTAGCATTGTGGGAGCTCACCTGTACTTACCGTTGCGTTACAGCAGGACTCATAAACAAGTCATACTTGTGGTAATAACAAGCTAAACATGTGTCGCCGTTTTAGTAGAAACAAGGACATTACCCGCCTGTTAACGATTCGCATTTAATCAATTTGTTTTGGGGTTGTTTTTCCACAGGGGGGCGTTGATGAGCAGCAATGTCTGGTATCGCTCTTAGCAGACTGTCCCAGGAGCGCAAAGCCTGGAGAAAAGACCACCCTTTTGTAAGCATCTGTCATCTGCAGCAACTTCATGTCCAGTGTTTTTTGAAACTAACTGTTGTGAGTGTTTCTAACACAAACCAGACTCGGGTTGGCAGCTGATGTTTTGCGTGTCATGTAAACCACAGGGATTTGTTGCTGTTCCCACTAAGAATCCAGATGGGACCATGAACCTGATGAATTGGGAGTGTGCCATCCCAGGGAAGAAAGGAGTAAGTTACCTGGAGCTGGATGTAGAGTAGGAAATAACCAGCAGGAGGCCTTCTAAGATGCTGGATTTTAAGCACAAACTTTGTTCGCACACACATAAAATGCAAACCCCATTTCCTTCAGCAACTTTATTACCCAACCTGTCTGCACATTAGTACCAAACCGGATCACACTGAGCCGTTTGCACGTGCCCATGCATGTAAGCACCAGGAATCCTAGTTCAGTGAGAGCAATTACAGTCTCCTCTTTTATTTGTCTGAAATCTCTACATGTTCTTGTGTTTTTGATAAGTAGAAATCTGTGCTATGCTTTAGTATAACTACAGTTTTGTATGCAGGACAGAAACCTGCTAAATTACAGGATGTCTTCATTGCTGATCAGATACATTTGACACAAAAACTGAGTAATGTGCTTCTATTCGAGGTTCTCTTTGGAAGTACTACACATAGGCTAAATCATCAAAACAACTTCAAGCCACTCTTTTCTCAAATAAAAAGTAACATTGCTTTTCTTCACAAGCTTTAATAGCAAAACTTTACAGTCAAGAGTATTACAAGTAGTGGCGACAATTACTGTGATGGTAAAGTTAGTGTTAACATCTATGAAATTATGCTTTTAAAACATTGTATGTATTTTTCTTGTACTCCCAAAGAATGGGGATAAAAAGATGAGCTGAATGAAAACGCCAGTTTAGAAATTTTTTGTTTATGCAGTTACTTTTGTAACGCTCCTTTGCTGTTGTTAAATAACCTTGGAATGTTGTTAGTTACTTTGCTTACACAGTTGTTTTCATTCTTCTTCGTTAGACGTTGTGGGAAGGAGGACTGTATAAACTCAGAATGCTGTTCAAGGATGACTACCCTTCATCTCCACCCAAATGTGAGTACCTCTTATCTCTTCTCCACTCTCGGTATGTAATAATAATAACAATTTAACTCAAACAGCACCTTTAAAAACAGGGTTTACAGAAGCGAGTGAAAAAAGCAGAACATTAAATTCATACAGAAAGTCACACATTAGAGACAAAAAGAGAACAGGATTAAAGGAAAGTTTATAGCAATGGCACGAAACACTGCAAACAAATAAAATAACTTGTAGTTTTCCTTTATTTGAAAATATAAAAGCTTTTGTAGCAGAAATAATCCATTTGGACAATGAAAAAGATACATGGTTAGAAAAAGGACGGGCTCAGTGTAATGTTTGATGTTGGAAAGTTACAGACAGCCGAAGCAGAAACGTTAAAAACAGCGTCGGGCTACGAAGCCGGTGTGGTCAGTGAACTGCTTTGGTCAAAGCATGACTCTAAGATAAATAACTATCATCTCTACATATAGAAGACAGCGTCATGTTTTTAGTCACAACATAAGATTTGAAAGTGTATAACCAAAGCTCAATCCCAGAATTCCCTGGTGTCATTGTACTGTTAACTTCTGAATCACATGTTGTATATTATATGCCTGAATTTCCCTCTCTGATGTTAGGAAACAGTGCTACGATAGCGCTACAATCCCATGATTTACTCAAAGGCCTGTTTTTGATCTCTGAGACAAAATTAAAGGAAAATAACACTATTGTGTAAATTCACTTTCACACAGCCTCTTGTGATTTTAGTTCCAAATAATGATGGTTTCTTATAGTGATTCTAATGTATTTTGTGGTCAATATCGTCAGTGTTCCCGTGCTTGATTGTACGACTTTGTCTTCAATAATTTGTCCTCAGGCAAGTTTGAGCCACCGATATTCCACCCAAATGTCTACCCATCAGGCACTGTGTGTCTGTCCATCCTGGAGGAGGACAAAGACTGGAGACCTGCTATCACCATCAAACAGGTTTGAAGGCTCCTGTGTTCATAGTCCCGTCCTCCATAATTCACCACGAATGCAGATTTGTTTTTGTGACTACTCCAATTACTTTAACAGTGTTGGAGCATAAAAGGAGGGCATCTGTAATTTCTCTATACAGCCCTCTGTTCCTTAGTAATGATTCAATTTAATGGCATTGGAGTTGGCTGCTTTGCTTTTAAGTTATATGTATTTATGGTTGTATTGCTGTGTTTTTTAGATTCTTCTGGGAATCCAGGAGCTGCTGAATGAGCCCAACATTCAAGATCCAGCACAAGCGGAAGCTTACACAATTTACTGGTAAGTGTGGTTGTTTGATTTACTCAGTGGATCCTACAAAAAAAGAATCAAGAAAGAATTTTTT